AAAAATAACAGATGGAAAGGTTTTAAAGTAAAATTAAGCAGATGAATAAATATCTAAGTATCTGTCCTAAAATGCTAGGTTTTGTTGTTGTTGTTTTCGGTTGTGTTTTTTTTTTTTTTTTTTTTTTCCCCATCTTGCAGTGCTACTATCTGCAAGGGAAGTGAGTACAAAAGACACAAGGGATACATAGAGTGTAGACCTTTCAAGTGAGAAATATTATATAAATATAGTTTTATATGCTCACCACTAGAAGAGTGTAATTTGATGAGTTAACCAGAAAAAAAAAAGTATTTTGCAAGTAATTGCATTTTTCTGATTTTCTTCACTATATGAAAATGCTTTTACATAAATTGATGCATAACCTGCAATCATACTTTTTATTTTTATTAAATGAGATTTTAAGTGCACTGAGACATGCATGACACCATGCACAATTTTCCCAAGGCTTCTTTAATCCCTTTGTGCCACTTATCTTTTTCCTGTGTAGAGAAAGAAAGGAGTATATTAAAAGATTTTTCCTTTCTGAATGCCTCCATCATCATGGTTAATAAGGGCAACCTTGCACGTATATATGAGGAGAAATTCAATTTTAAATTGCTGTAAGGTTCACCTTTGAATTTCACTGTGGTCAGAAGAATCCCATGACCTTTAAATTTGATGAAAAGAGAGAGCAGATATTAATCTCATTATTTTATTTTGAAGTCCTCCCAAAGTGGGTGACTCTAGACCACATTTCTGCAGAATGACAAGAGCAGTTCATCTAAATTGATCATTGTTACGGGAAGGACAATATCTGAAGATTTTAATATACCTTCAGTTTTTTATATCTCATTTTAATTCTCTCTGTAATAATTACTCTACTATTTCAGAGTTATTATTTTAGACAGTTTAAATATATGTCTTACAGTTATGCTACTAAATGTAATAACTTTCATTTTAAAGATTATAGTTTGTCCCCTTACAAAAGCCGAACTTATTTAGATATTCTAAAAGTGTTTATTGTGCCTCCTAGTAATATTTGTACACTCTTGCTTTTCTACTAAGTTGTTCCCCTATGCTACAGAAAATTATAATTGAAACAAAAAATATTGTAGCTATACAATAATTACACAAACTGCTCAGGGACAGGATAAATTAACTTACCATGTGTTTCATACAGTAACATTCAGATGAGAATTAGTTACAAAAAATAAATAAATAAGCACACTCCAGGTACTGTGTAGGGAACTTCTACCTAGCTTATATTATCTTTTGAGCAATCATGCTGGGCTTGTATATTATTATTCTCATCCTCACAGTAAGACATTGAAAGATATTTGGTATAAGAACAAAGTCTGTAAGAATATAATAATAATAATGTATCTCAAATATTTCTTGAAGTATGACTTGTGAATTACTTTTATCAGATTCACCTTGTTGAAATGAAGAATGCTGACCACAATCCCAAGTTACTTGAAGAACTCTCTGATATATGGGGCCCCAGAATCTGAATTTCAACATTTCTCATTTTTCATAATCATTATTCTAGTCTGGAACGTAAGGGAATAGCATAAGGGAATACCATAAAATATGCTGTAATTAAGAGCACTTATAGATACAACTATTATGGAAGTGGAAGAATAAGATTAAGGAAACAATTTAGCATTAAATAATGCTAGAAAAAAAGAGAAATTAAATAATGTTAAATCATTACCCTTTACCATGCAGCTATTGACAGCAGGAAACTGCCAAGAGCAGTACCTTCATTTGATGATGTAAAGAAAGAAGGATAAATAATTATTTGAATAGTCAATAAGTATCTATTTATCCACCTACCTACCTATCTATCCATCCATTTTTTCCTGATCCAATAATACTTAAAATTCACAGAATTGTTTAAAATGTTAAATAATTTACAGTTGTATAGTGATCAGTACATAAGATAAACCTGATTTTCATTGTCCTAAGACTAAGGGCAGTGGGAAACGTCTGCAATTTTAACATGAATGATACAGAGCTGTTTGCTAGGGTGAGGAAAACAAAAAAGATTGCCTAGCACAGGGCTAACTTGAAGATAATTGTCCCCGGATGAATAGCAGAGAATAGTGGATTGCAACAGTACATATTAAAGATGACCAGTGCATGCACTATGGATTTTGCTTGAGGAATAATAAAAAAGGGATAGATGCCAGAGAAATTATAGTCAGCATGGCTATGCAAATAATTCAGCAAGGAATTGGACAGGAGATTTTGATGATCTGCACATATTTTATTTCTTAAATGCTCTGCCATTAATGGCTTTGATCATTGTAGTCTACTTAAAGTATGAAGATTTATGGATTGCTGTAAAGATGGCAAAAATACTTGGTCTTAAATCAACCACTGGAAGAACTTGTGGAGCAGCAAATGCCTTAAGTTATAATTTTATAAGGTAGGCAACAAGAATAATGATTTCTATTTAATAACCCAAAAGAGATTTTTTAAGACTGAGACAAATGCAGAACAGTGGAACATATTTTATCTTTGGCCATAAAACATTATTTTATAAGGAGTATAAGGAGAATGGCAAAGTGATCATCAGCACATTAAGATGTATAACTGTTAAAATTAATTATTTCTCCAGTACAGTCTTTGAGTTTTTTTTCCAATATATAATAAGTAAAATATTCTGTAAAGATTATGAATTTAAATGGGCTCCCACAATTTAAAAGAGAAGAGGATTATGAACACTAGCAGGTGACTTCTTTTATCTATCATAAATACTGGACCCTAAGTCATGGATAAATTAGGAAATTATACCATAATATTAACAAACACCTGTCCTACTTAAATAATTCTAGAATTTGGAATAAGAATCACACTATCCTTATCCTCTTTATTTAAAAACCTCTTTCTGCTAATCTGAAGATCTCAAAATATAATTACTTTACAAATTATTAAAAATACGTGATGTTCATGTCAGAACCATAATATGATCAAGTAAATTTAATCTTCTAATTCTCAAGCAATCCCACTTTCTGACTTCAAAACTTTTCCAAAAGTGTACTAATGAGTCCCAGAGGTTCTTTTTTCAGTAACACAATAAAATATGCCTTGGGTCACTTATCTAAGATGAACCTGATTTAGTTTTTTTTTCTTTTAAATGAGGTAATGTATAAAGCAAATTTTGATATTTTAATCAATAATTCAAAGTAATTGCACACATGTAGACTTGTACACAACAGCTATTAATACATAATGAAATAACTAAGCAGTCAGCATTAGTTTTTCAGTGGAGCATATGAAATATTCTCGGGGGTAAATTAGAAAGATTTGACAGATGTAAAGCTACATAACACAAAAAGCATTTCACAATCATTAGAATTCACTCCAAGAACATGTTTGCAAAATGTTCCCAAATATATTATTTTGAACTATCTGTGGACTGTTTCAATGATTACAATATATGAAGAATTGGAACATTTTTCTAGATCATTCATCTGCAAATACCACAAATTAAAAAGAAAAAACAAACATAATGATTTTATTTGTTGTTCACTTTATTCTAATGATTTGAAAATATCCTTATCTCATTACCTAACTTTATTAATACAGAGTTGTAGACTTGGCCTTAAATGCATTTATCTGTGTTAATGATTTACTTGTATTATGGTTTATAATAAACATGATGTATACAAAATTATATAATTTGTAAATTTTTATGATGTGGCAACAAAAGTTGAGCTAATATATGAGTGATGCCCTGAATCATAATATAAATAATATTAATTTTCATTTAAATCATGTTCCATATTCATAGTTTTAAATTTATCATTATTAATTAAATAACTCTTATCTAATAGTATCCTTATTGCCAATTGTGTTCACGTCTATATATGCTTCTTTGAAACACTTTTATGTTTATTATTTGATTTTGTCAGTAATAATGATTTTATGAGAATATTTGCCCATGTTTTAGGACAGCCAATACTGATTTTATGACTATCACAAACAATTCATACAGCATCATAGAAGTTTAGTTCAGGAAGCACCCTCAGATATCAAAATTGGCTATGTCAGAATTGGCAGAGACACTGAAATTGCAGTTATCTACTTTGGCCCACCATGCCCAGAGAGTTACACTTGGAATGACTCTGGAAGCTGTTTTTTTTATTGTGTACAGCTATTCTTGATATGGTGGTACTTGACAGTCATTTTAACTAAGAACTGAAGCCAATTAAATTGTTTCTCTGTGAATTTCCTGTGATAGATACACAAAGGCATCTTATGTTAGCCAATAGACATTGTTTAAACACAACTAAAACTGTTCCAGCATTTATTTTGATGCAACTAGCTAATTTCATAGTTGTGATTTATGTTTAAATAGTGGCTTTTAATCAGATCTATTATTCTTGTCTTCTATTTCTTATCATAGTGTCACAGTACTTACATGGGAAAAACAACTCCTCCCAATAAAAACTTGGGCACATTCTCGACTTCATGTTAATAGAAGAATGATTTAAAATGGGAAAGCCCTATATTTTGTTAACTCTACTCAGGAGAGTAAAAACTCCACAGCTTGAACTATGAGACAGATGACTATTTGCTCTTTGGTAGTTAGTTCCACTCTATACTTAGAACAACCAGAAAAACAAGTCACAGATACTTATAGAAGGATTTGCTTAACATGCAAACTCAATTTTTGTAAGTGGCCACTTGTAATTTTCCGTAACTCTCGAATTAATTTCCAATTCTTAATCAAGATTTCAATATTACTATAAAATGTGCCAATTTTAACACAGAAAAAGTAAAATGTCTATAAATCTATATTTTAAAAAGTATTTTAACAAATGAAGTCCAATGAAAATTACACTCAGCGTACTAACAATATGCAAGAAATCAGCAGAAATCTCTATGTAATATTCATGAATTTGTGCTGACTGGCTCCTGTAACATTTCATTTTGTTAAAATTACTACATTAGCAGACTGCTGGGCTTTGTTATTCACTGATCTGTGTTGTTTGTTGTTTGGATATTTTTAGATGCTCTACCAACTGGTCAGGCACACAGTGTGAAAGGCCAGCCCCAAAGAGCAGCAAGTCTGATCACATCAGCACCAGTAAGTTTCTCAGATTAATATTTTGGGTAATCTACACTGTATATAAATCATTTTAATCTCATTATTGAGTGAGGTGTGTCTTATGAAATCTTCATGGACTTTTGTAAGAGATTCACTGCAATTGAGGTGTTTTTTAAAGGGAAAGCACAGAGCTCTCGTCTAATTACAGGCTCGTGTTCGTGTTCTTCTAGGCTGGGAGAGTTTATCCCAAATGTGGGGAGTTTTCAGAATGCACATCTCCTAACCTAGCATAAGCTTTTCTTTGGAAATGTTCATCAGCTGCAAAAGTCGCAGATACCACAGTGGAAGTGAAAATACTCCAGGAAGAAAACTAATTCCATGTTTTAATTAGAGCAAAGTGTATTGTCTTGGAATGCATTTCAATGTGCCATGGGGGGAAAAAGACAGACTTTATTAGTTAGTCTGAAAGAGAAGCAAGTTAACAAGCAATTCTTAATGAAGATCTACATTGATTTATTGCTTCTTTATCTTTAAAGTATTGGTTTTGAAGTATATTAAAATATAGATCACCATTTTTGCAAATTTTTTTGTGCGGCCATAGTCTTAGGGTCAGGTGTGTCTATGTCATCATTGTGTGTCTGTGTACAGTTTCTGACAACCTGAAATGTTATAAAGTTTTTCAAAATAACAGTCTGAAATACAGTTTGCAATTCACACATGTTGTCATTAATTTTACCATTAGTGAAAAACCTTTGAAACAATTGTATTGTCTATTGGGTGTAAATAAATTTGTGAAGGAAAAATAATATCCTTGATGGAAGATTGCTTACCTTAGCAATTTTTCCCTAGTCCTTTACTGCTGGTGAGAAGGATTTCATAAAAACAAGCAAAAAGCATACTGTTTCAGAGTTAGTGAAAAAGGAAAGAGACTATTAAAGTATAAAATATATTATTTTTGTACCCTAGAAGCAGGCTTCCCATCTTTGCTGATGTTCCCGTTTGTTGTCTCTGTCCCCAGACAGTTTTGATATCATTGTCCAATTTTTCCCAATTTAGAAGTTAATTTGGGTTTATTAAGCCTGGGCATCTTTGAAAAATGGAAAATAGGTCTAGAATAAACAGTCTTGGCATGAATATTTAAATTTGGATAGGTGAGGTGAGGTGACTTTTGGTTATGGAGCATTTTGAGTTGATCTTAGAATTTGTGTGCTCTCTTTAGGTCAAGGGAGGGAGAGGTCATAGGGAAGCTATGAGCATATAATTGTAGGAACAGGACACTGGGAATTGGGGTATTGGTTGATAAAAGGTTAGCAGTGGCAAAATGTGTCTTGCCTAATTTGATATGCAAAAGAAAAGAAAAAATACTTTATATCTCTTCCCAGGATTTAGGGCTCAAACTATCATTACCAGTAATAACTCCAGAGGCATACTAATTTATATATGGTTTTCATAAACTATTTGCAAAACTCAGCAATCACTGAGAGCATTAATGATAGAAATGCATTTGAAGTTATCAACCTGTAGAACATGCTTCCTTTATAAATTAGGAATTGAAAAGATGCTTTAGCCTTTTTAACGGTAGTTTCTCGATGATCAAATATAAAAAAAAAATACATAGCCTTTTTAGAGCATCAAAAAAAATTTTTTTTAATTGTAAAACTCTGACAAGAAATAGCATGGAATGTGTATTGAATTTGGAAATTTTGTATAAGCGCCATCCACAAAGGGAAAGTTTGGTATTTGGAAAATGGATTGGAGCTGGAATGCTCCAGGCATTCCTGTTAGAGAGTGGGGTCTCCAACGATCTGCATGGGCAAATGTAAGAAACTGGTTTTAATTACATGCAACAGTTCTAAAGTAAAGAACATCAAATAGGGGAAAGAGTTGCAAATAGTTGTAACCCTTTCCAAAGATTCTGAAGCTCTTTCTCCCATCACTAATTTAAAGTCATGAAATTTAATAGAACTATCATGCATTTTGAAAGGGCTATTAGCTACATATATGTCAAATTATCACAGACTTGAGCAAAGTTGACCAAATAATGACTCTATTAGATGCTTATCATCAGACATTTATGCTTAGAGAAACTTGACTCAGCAGCTCTGAAAGAAGGGAAAAGGTAGTTAAACTGACCTTTCCCATGAAAGAGGATTACTTTTATTCTTTTGGGTAAAATCTAGTGATTTTGAATGGTTGTCAAACCTTCTGCAAACTTGAGCAGAAGTCATCTACCCAATAAGAAAGATGAAACTTTAGGAATGTGTTTTCAAATCTGCATTTCCATCATCAGTGGACCTTCGTTGGCATAGTCCAGAATACACTGCCTGTGTCTGCCTCATTACTATCAATTTATACAGAGATTTACTTTTCTGATTTGTACATGGTCTTCATAATCATCTCTGAATAGTGGTAGTGATGTTCACTGGCTTCTGATGTTTAAAGTATCTAAAAAGCAGTTTGTGGAATTAGGCAGATCTATTATCTAGGGCTTTGTGCTCAGGTTCCATTTTAAAAATCGAATCTGACTCTTCTGAAGATATTTTGAAGAGTTTTAAACTCAGGATGATAACATATTCATTGCATACTTCTATTTTAAATTTACAAAATTTTTAAAATTTACATAAAATTGAGCATTGAATGATCGGTGTTGGAATTGTGTTATTTGTTGTATCTGCTGAAATTATGAAAGATCAAAATATATCCAGCATTTGTGGTACAGTAGAGTTGCTGTATTTTACTATAGTGACAATAGGGGCAAGATATCTGTTGGGGGTCATTGTATCTCTTTTTCTACTTTGTCTTTATCATTTTATATCATCCATTATATTTTAATTTAAAAAACTGGTTATATTATACCAGGAATTATAAATTTGCAAATATAGAGATATAGCTGAAAAACGCAACAAAATAATGTTTTCTTTTCATTTCTCCCAAAGCAAAGGTTTATCAAGTCTCTGCTAAGTGTCAAGTACTGCACTAGATTCCAGAGACAGGTCCGTGAGGAAGGCAGACAGTGCCTCTTCTCACGAAGCTGAGGTTCTAATGGAGTAAACAGCAATAAAACAAGGAAGCAAATAAAAAAGGAAATATTCAAATTTAAAAAGTAATTGTGAGTTTTGATTGGCCCGTGAAGGAAACAAAAACAAACAAACAAAAAAGATAAAAAGGGCAAAGATAGAGACTGTCACGGGAACAGTGGGGTCAGGAGTGCTTTCTCTGAGGTGGTGATACTTCAGCTGAGACTTGAGGCTCAAGGTACAAGAATAAAGAACAGCAGATACAGCCGGGCGTGGTGGCTCACGCCTATAATCCGGGCACTTTGGGAGACCGAGGCGGGCGGATCACAAGGTCAGGAGATCGAGACCATCCTGGCTAACACGGTGAAACCCCGTCTCTACTAAAAACACAACAAAAATTAGCCGGGCGTGGTGGCGGGCGCGTGTAGTCCCAGCTGCTCGGGAGGCTGAGGCAGGAGAATGGTGTGAATCCAGGAGGCGGAGCTTGCAGTGAGCCGAGATCCCGCCACTGTACTCCAGCCTGGGTAAGAAAGCATGACTCCGTCTCAAAAAAAAAAAAAAAAAAAAAAAAAAAAAAAAAAAAAGACAGTAGGTACAACAACCCTGGAGCAAGAAAGAGTTAGACATGTCCAGCAGACTGAAAGAAGACCAGTGTGCTGGTATCAAGAGGACAAGAGTGGTACAAAGTGAAGCTAGAGATACAGGACCAAGATGATAGGCAGCCTCTTGAAGATCACTGGAAGGATCACCTTTACTAAGTTGGGAACGTATTTTCTTTACAATTTTTAACATTACAATATACCAAAATGTTTAAGAGAAAGCATGCTAATTTCAACAAATATATATACTCCACACTTATACATATCTATAAACATAAACTTAAGAACATGTCAAAGGAAGTCATTGTAATTATGTAATTTACGCTAATACTGTTCTATTGTAAATTTGATCAGTAAGTAAAATGTTCTCTCCCTCTGACCTTCATGATACTGAACACTTCTGGTTTCTCTTCTACCTCTTTTGAAGCAACTCTTTCTTTGTGACATTATTTTCTTTCTATTCTGCTTGGTTAATTTACCTGTTTATCACTAGATACTCTCCCCTTGTCCTGGATACACTTTCCTTGCCAAGACATAAATCCTTGACATGAGTTATCAACTCTGTTGATTCCCCAAAATTCCTGTGCTCGATATTTATTTATCTCCTAAGTCTGAGACATATATTTCACTGCTTGCTTGATATATCTGTATCTGTATCGTCTATATTCCACAGTGATCTCAAGCTCAGTTCCCAAATGATCTCATCACCACCCCCTAACCACAGTCATTTTCATATACCTTATTTTGCCTCTCTGTCCATATGGATGGCTGAAAGGTGGTGATACTTTAGCTGAGACTTGAGCCAATCCACCTGGCTATGGAAACAACACTTAAGTTCCATACTTAACCTTCTCTTTGCTTTCCTAAGTTGAATCAAACAATAAATTCAGTAGATGTTCCTTCCTAAATTTTATTCAACATCATCTTTTTAAAAAGAAAAAATAGTACAATTGCCCGTCTGATTTATATGACTTACACACTCCTTCACAATCTCACCTCTGCTTTCCAGTGTAGTCACATCTCCTTCCAGCACACTCCTCCCACCTCAACTGTTTTTCCTTAATCGTAATCCTCTTGTCCTTTAAAGTCTCTTTATGAACTACAGAGGACTTGCTCCTTAAGCCTCAGAGACACTCTAGTCCTCCTCCAGCCCAGATCTAGTTGGAGGCACCTCCTTTGTATTCTCAGAACAGTGCATACTTCCCTAATACAGCATTCATGCTACTATAATGAATGAACTCATTTGTTTGTCATCTTCTGTTATACATCAAGCAACGTAAGAGAATGGTCATTTTATCCTCAGTATGGAATAGAGTATACGTTGAGGGTCTGGAGCACAGCAAGAACTTAAGATATATTTGCTAAATAAGAATGGAATTTATAGACCCTATGATATCCTAAGGACTGCACTATTTGCAGAACAAAGAGAAACAGATTGTGCCCTCAAATATCTCAAAAACAAACTGATACAATATATTGTGAGAAGGGCAGAATAGAAGCATGTACAGAGTGCTATAAGAACATGTGTTTTGATTGTTTATTAAGCATGTATGTAGCATTTTCTATGATTGGCATAATCCTATCTATAATACTGTATGATAGCTATTAATGGTGATACCCATATTATAGATGAGTAAACTGAGACAGATATAATTAATGTGCCTAAGTATATCTTGGTAATGAATAGTAGAAGTGAGGTTTGAATAGAGGTATCCTGGCTCCAGAGTCCATTATCTCAACTGCTGTGCTGTACTAGCTGTCATATGGAAAGGGGCTCTTCAGCACAGCACTTACAGTTCTTTCTTCTAATGGAAAAATGTTGCATGATGAGGTTTCAGAACTGTGTTGCAACAAAGACTTGCTCTACTTTTTAATGAGAAACTTGTTGAGATATCCCCTCCACCCTTAATAAGTACAGAGTTTACATTTTTCAACCAGTTTCTAATACTCCATTAACAATGTACTGTTAAAAAATCACCTACAATAGGGATTGGTCATTGTATTTACAGTATGAAATTTACTGTCATATATACTAGGAAAAATACTTATTTTTATAATATCTTTATATAATTTTAAAAATACCTGTGATTTCCAGCAATAAAAACTATTTTATAAAATTTAAAAAAACTTGCCAAGCTTCTACCCTGCATTATTTATCGGTGACACTAGGGTGTTATAGTGGTTACTTTGATTGGTTACGTAAACATATTAGAAGTCTAGGCTCTTAAACACAAAATGCAATAATATATGAGATTGCATCTGCCATCTGTGAAGGGAAAAAAAAGAAACCCTTTATTTTCTAACATACTTAATTAACAGCTTTCTACCTCAGAGGAATGTCAAACTGTAGAACAAGTAAAATATATTTTTAGAAAATGACTTATAATTGCATTGAGAGAAAATAAATTTTATATACCCTAAAACTATATTGATAGGTATTTTACACCACCAATTTTACACAAATTTTAGAGGAAAATGAAGTAGATAAATTTATAAAGTGATGATCAATCAGTTGAAGACATAGTTTATGAAGAAACCAAGCTGTTCTCTGGTATTTAAAACTTGTGAACAAATGTTAATTATCATCCAAGGTGCCAGATTCTCTACTGTCATTAATTGCTAATAAATTACAGATGCATATAAAGTTCACTTTCCCAAAACAAAGGAGGTAATATAGTAATATCAAACACAGTAAGTTCTCATAACTACGTGAGAAAACAAAATGACTTTTACATTTTAGAAAGTCTCTAAAGAAGTGGATAGAAGAGATGGTTATTTAGTTATTTCACACAAGTTATTTCTCCAAGTCCTAAATTAGATATTTATCTTATACATGAAATTTTCTTAATGAAACCTTTTTGGCATTTGGCAAGTGATCCAGTATGGATTATCTCAACCAGGTATCGTCTGGCTATAAAACAGGTCTATATATTTATAGTACAGTTCTAAGTGGCTGGTTATTGTGCATAATATCACCATTAATTTCTACCTTGATATTTTCACATGCACATGTATCTGCAGAAAAAATTCATATACTTTAAGACTTTTTAATGTTCTGTTCTTAATCCATTCAAGATCTCCATGTTAAATTTTAACTAGTTGTTGGGCTGCTTGGTTTCTTAGGTTAACCGGTGATTAAGTTGACTTGACTGTATCAACCCATGATTTATTCAAAGTAAACAAAAGCCTTTGTTTCATGTGTACTAGATATTTTTCAGTAAGAAAAGTTAACATTAGCTACGTCATACTTTCCTGTTATCAGGCAACCCTGTATTCAGTTTTCTTCCTACAATAAGTGACATTCGGGTATATTCTCCTGTGGGTCACATTATTAGCAATGGGCTATTATTGACTGCCTACTCACTGACTAAAAAAACAATTACCCTATTGCTAATCTATTATATAATTGGAAAATAAAATCTCCTCCACTTTGCCTCCTCCCTGTGCTCAGATGCATAAATACAAAGACCAAATTTCACTGATCACTTTTGAAGAAATATTCTATTAGTGCTAGTACCCAAGACCTTTCTCATATATGGAAGAAAGGAAAATAATTGACATTTGCCACATAAGCCAAACTCCCAACATATGTCTTGCTAAAACTGGATACCCCTTTTGTTTTACCAGGCTGCCACCTAACTTGTAACATGGACCCCTGACCAGAAAGTATGGATAACTAAAGGAACAAAACTAAGGGTGGGAATGTGGTCAGTGAAACTGTTTAAATGTTTATTCAGTCTTAGTTGACTTAAAAAGAGGTACTAGCATGCACTTTAATCATTGCAAGTAAATGTGTGATGGGAATTACTAAACACAGACTGATAGAAAACATCAGATCTGTAATCTCAAGGTATTTAAATGCAACACAAAAATGAAAGATATCTAAAGAAACATTTCCATCAGAGTACGTGTTTAAGAGGAGAGTAATTTTCCAATAACATAATTATGAGCCTGAAATATAAATATTTGGGCTAAGCTTTATTTTTATTATGTCAATGGTCAAGTGATTTGGTGTAATAAAGTATTTAGTTGTATCAATTTTTACTTCATTTTATTTATTTCTTCATCTATTCACTCATTTATTTTCCAGGAAGCATTGCCATCATTGTGCCTCTCGTCCTCTTGGTGACTTTGATAACCACCTTAGTAATTGGTTTAGTGCTTTGTAAAAGAAAAAGAAGGTAAGATGCAATATTGTAGATTAGCAGTCAGTGAATAAATCACACAACTAGGTGCAGAAACATAATGGTTTTTTTTTTTCATTTTTTAAAATATGATTTAGTTATGCCAACTATAAAATCCAATGGTTTTCAAATCATTTTATACCTCTCTTTTAAGTGATTATAATGTAGACAATTCTTCTCCCATATTATGTTAATGGAATGGTCCATTTATATATTCTAGCAAAAATAACAAGAGATCATATTATTCAAAAGTTAAGTAGAATTTTACATTTGCAGTTGTCTTTCCTTGAAACAGCAAGGGTCTATGAGGAGCATCTTTTTATATTAATGTGTATGATTAGTAATGTCAATACAGTGATACTGATATGCATATGTACATCTCTAATTTGTGCATTTCATTCACAAATAGTGAATTGATTTAGATATATCTCTTTAGAAGTATCATTTCAATTTATATGAAAATGAACTTATAGATCTAGAGGAGTAGGTTGTCTGCAGAGAGACGAGAGCCATGTGTGCTCACTTATAAATGAACATGAAATAATGTGTACACATGGATACGGAGTGTAGGGTGATAGCTATTAGAGATTTAGAAGGGTGGGGAATGAAGTGAGGTAGATGATGAGAAATTACCTAATGGGTACAGTGTACATTATTTGGATGATGGACATACTAAAAGCCCAGGCTTCAACACTATGCAATATAACCATGTAACAAACTTGCACTTGTACAAAATAAGCTTAAAAATCAAGAGCTTTTGAGTCATTATTTGAATTATGTAAATCAGGATTCTAACCTTGTAACTTGGAGATTGAAAACAATCTACGAGTTTCTTTTGTTGCAATAGTTTTCAGATAGGAGAAAAAATAGAATTTAAAAAGATAATTGATTGGTAAATATTCAATTTCAAATGATGTGGTTTTAGCTATTCAGGAGGTATTTATTTCCAGTGTGTTTTTATTAAGTCAAACAACTGGGAAAATGGCCTATCAAAGTACTACTTTTTGTTCCTCTGTTACCCGACAAATGTCATTTATTCAATTTATTTCAAAATAAGTAAATTTGTAAATATGATAATTTCATATACCTTGTGCTATTTATACAAAACTCACACATATTAATGTTCACATATTCTAGGACAAAAACAATTAGAAGACAACCTATTATCAATGGAGGAATAAATGTAGAAATTGGCAATCCATCTTATAACATGTATGAGGTAGACCATGATCACAGCGATGGAGGTCTTTTAGATCCTGGCTTTATGATAGACCCAACAAAGGTAATATGTCTTAAGATAATGGGTAGTGAGCACTGACATTCTTGAGTTGCATCTCTGTTTTATGGTTCTGAATTTCACCAAGTTTTTCTGTTATCTGAAGTTAGAATAAGAGACTTTAGGATGTATTGAATGATATAGCCTCTTCTAAAGAGAAAGTACAATTATGGACTGCATTCATCTGAAGCTGCAAGTTAGTGTAATACATCTTGGAAAATATAATTATGTGCTCAGTTCATTTATAAAGATGTTATTTATTTTATATGGTTTTTATTGAAAAATGACTCATCTGTTTACCTAAGCAAATGAAAAATTCATTTAAAAATTGTTTTAGTATTATTATCACACAGCAAATTGTTTAGGTCTTCTTCAAGGGGTGGATAGATGTATAGATAGATAAAGGTCTATTATAAAGTAAAGCTACTGACTTTCAAGGTTGAAATATATGTAAGGAGAAGACCAACATATGCACAGTCTCTAGCGATATGACTGAAAAGTAGTTTGGTGGGATATTTCTACCTAGTTCCTCCCAGTATTCCTTACAGTGTGGTTCTATGGGTTTTTGGTTTGGTAGGAACTGGATACTAACAAGGTAGTTCCGTTTTCATCACTTCAGACATGGCATGTTCTTTTAAAATTTATTTTTTGTTTTAATTGATGCATAATAAGTAGGAAATCAGTACATTGAAGAGATATCTGTACTTCCATGTTTTTTTTTACAGCATTACTCACAATAGCCAAGATATAGAATCAACCTAAGTGTGCATCAACAGTGAATAAAGAAAATTGTATTCAGCCATAAAAAAGAAAGAAGTCCTGTCATTTGAGGCAACTGGATGAAGCTGGAAAATATTGTTACATATGAAATAAGCCAGGCACAGAATGACAAATACCACATGATCTCACTCACATGTGGAATCTATAGAAGTTAATATTGAAGTAGAGAGTGGAATATAGGTTACTAGAGGATGGAGAGGGGAGGAGAAAGTAAGATAGATGTTGGTCAATGGGTACAAAGTCACAGTCAGATAGGAAGAATGAGTTTTGGTGTTCTATTGCACAGTTAGGTGACGGTGGTTGACAATATTGTATTGTATATTTTAAAATAGCTAGAAAAGAGGATTTTTAATGTTCTCACCACAAAAAATCATAACTATATATGAGGTGACAGATATGCTAAATGCTCTGACTTTATTTTTCTGCAATGTATACATGTATAAAAACATAACACAGTATCTCATAAATATGTATAATTTATGTAAAATAATTATCTGATCAAATGTGTTGAGGTATTAGCAAATCTAGATATACAGCTTAGTGTAAAAATCTTGGTCGGTGTATTTTTAAATATAAAAGAGTACAGTATTTTATTGTCAAAATAAGTATGTTATTTCCAATAATGTTTAAATGAGGAGCCAGATAAGCTGTGTCCCTGGACTTCTTTGTAATTAAATTACTTTTGAGAAACATTTTTCTGTCATAATATCCTTACTAGTTTAAAACATTTCATTGATACATATAGCTTGACAATCCACAGCCTTTTAAATTTAAAAATTCGTTAGTTTTTATTACTATAAGCTCAGGTTGGCAACTTTTAAGAGAAATAACTAAATGATACAATTATCCAGTTAAACTTGTGAAGACTTACTTCACTGAATTATCTGAATATTCTTTCTGATAATTTTAGAACATTTTTCTCTAAATTAAGAGTATCAATTTACTATTATGAAACAATTTTTCTTGGCTTATTCGCTTATTTATTGAATAGTTATTTTACTGACTTATAAAAGTTACTTCATCAAAATGCACTTTTACATTGTAAATATTCAATGTGGCCAATCTACATTGAAATTATTTTGCAATCACAGTCACAGGTGCTCCTGAAGGAGTTGAATAGGATCCCACATATTCAACCTAGTTCTGAATCCATGATTAGACTTTCTAAGCCTGAAATTAATGCTCAAATATTCACTTCTATGCAAATCAATCAATCTTTTCACATGGATACACTGTGTACTGTTGGGCAGTACTATAATATTTTTCTAATTAGACATAATTTTATAGTTATTATTTATTAATTAATTCACTGCTACATCTGAAATTTTTCAAGGAAAAAATCCTGGTATCCTTGCATTTGATATTTTCTACTTTAAAATATCACAGAAGTAGAGACACAATACATATTGTTCACTGTGTATCTATTATATCTATGAAGGAGAAAGACATCTTAAATAATAGAGTTCTGAAATTCTTTGCATTTTTCTTAAGAATAAAAATATAGTATTTGTACATATAATATAGACTAATGAGGATATACTTTATGCATATTTCATATGAAGAATTCTTACATTTTCCTCATCACTTTTATTTCTAGTGATAGAATTAATCCAATTTTGTACACTTAAAGACAATAGCTTTTTATACCACATTTTAAAAATTTTCACATTTACTCTAGGAAGATAAACCTATGCTTCAGTGTCACCCAAATATATTTTAATGTACTTAGAGCATAATACTCAATAAATATTTACCAATTTGATGACTGATTAACCAAAATTTCATCAAATATGACTTAGATGACTGAGTCTAGCTGGATCCTGATATTTGAATGTAAATGTGAATTGTTGTCAAATGAATAACTACAGCTAGTTCTAATAGGTTTAGACAGTAGTGAAAAACAAAGGGTCACATTGAAGCAACCTTAATAAACATACAAATCTTACAGAATATTCACTCTGTTACAAGGGTTTGATATATGCATGGTCTAATCAGTATAAATTACATTACATATGAAAAAAATTTTGTAGAACACTCATTTCTGTTATTTTCAAAGAGGGTAAAATTTCTAGTTCAATGGTATCTTATAATCAAAAGGATTGAAAGTACTTAACACAGTTCATAAAATAAATTTGACTATGGGAGCAACCACAGAATAGTTTGAAGACTGTAAAAGAGATAAATTAATATGTACTAGTTTTCTCTTCAAATTCATGCCAATTCTTACTTGGATTGTTTTTTATATTTTCTGAATAAGACTTTTGTGAGAGAAATGTCCCTACCTGTGAAGCAAAGATCCAATACTAATATTGAATCCAATATTAGTATTGGATCTTTTAAGTTGTTTTGAGTTGTTAAAGCTAGCATGAATACATTGTAAATGACTTAAGGCTAAAGGGTTTTATGTTATTTTTATGAATTAACATGATATGTATCAATGAAAAGTGGTTCCATAATATTAGATCAGAAACTAAAGTTCTCTGTTTATATACAGGCCAGATACATAGCGGGAGGACCCAGTGCTTTCAAGCTTCCACACACAGCGCCGCCCATCTACCTAAACTCTGATTTGAAAGGACCACTAACTGCTGGGGTGAGAGAAGAGTATTCATTATTTCATGTCCATTTCATCACAGAACCCTCGCAATCAAACATTGATTACTAGACTTAGAGGCTTGTTTTTAATTAAATTTTTAATTAACAAGAGATTTCAAAATAGCATTTAGATTGGGGGCTTATGTTACGTGTTCTGTCTATACTAGATTACATCTGAAACATTATTATTTTAGGCAAGCCATTAAGTAGAAATCTCCCTTCTACTGGATTTGGAAATGTTATAGCCCCTTAACAATGAACATGAGTATTTGTTATTCTTAGAAAAGAAGCTCTAGCCAGAAATTTAAACTTAATAATTTAAACTTTTGATTTTATTCATTTCCTTTCATAGTGGTTTATGTAATATATACAAATTTGATGTGCAGTTAAATAGACTGTACTTTAAAATGTGTCATCATATTGAGAAATTACAGAGGGTCTAACAAAACCATTCTCAAAAACATGTTTCAATTAAGTAACTGGTGTTTAGAAAAAGCTGTTCCGTCTAAAGTTACTTAGTTCATTTTAAGCAGAAGAGGAGAAAATATGCATATCAAGATTCCTAGGGATGAGAATTCTGTCCCTTATCCTCTTTCCCATTAGCTGTTTTCATCCTCATTCTCTATCATGTTTGTCTCAATTACATGGCTCAAAGATTATGTTTCCTTGTTGTAACTAAGATTTAATGTACTGTTTTTGGAAAGACAAAACAGAACAAAAAATAACAAAAACAAACAAACACTAGGAAAAACTTTCTTGGGATAAGCTGCAATTTGTTAAATAATGAACATTGTATGTATGTTTTCCAACTCAAAGAGGTCAACTACTGCATGCCTCTATTCTACTTCAAAATGCTGTAAGTGTTTATGAAACTTAAGATGACTGTGTACATCACAATTCTTTGAAAAAGTCCAAAAATATTTCTAATAAGTACACAGAGGTTGTTTGAGGCAAAAAATCTTGCTTTTATTTTAAATCTGCTATACTAACACCTTTCTTTACATTTTTGTTTACTTGTTTTTAAGTTCATATTGAAATATTATAAGCACCAAACAAATGCTTTTCTGAAAACACATGTTATTTGCTGCTGATTGGCTTGTAATAGCAATAAGGAGACAACACAAAAACTGAAAACATGACAATTTAGTTTCACATTTTATGCTTTTATAATAAAGTCTCAGTGAACATAGCTTTCACAAAGACTTTTTCTGGGTTTTTATGTATGGCAAAGCTCCTTTTAGGTTTACAAGTTACTTGCAAAATGTAAAATTATGGTTTATGTAATACCTTGTTTGAGTTGACTACAGTCTGTAAGCATAACATATAAATAACCTTTAAATAATTACTATTTAATAAATTAAATGTATTGCATATAAATATTGTTACGATTAGGAGACGGACATTCTAGGAAGTAAATAATTATGTGGCCAAGGCCAATAATGAAATTATATATTTTTTTCTCCTTCAGCCAACAAATTACTCCAATCCAGTATATGCAAAATTATATATGGATGGGCAAAACTGTCGAAACTCCTTAGGAAGTGTTGATGAAAGAAAAGAACTGCTTCCAAAGAAAATAGAAATTGGTATAAGAGAGACAGTGGCATAATCAGTGATACCTTTTATATGCTGTATAAATGTATAAAATATAAGGATTACTTTTGTATGTTCCAATAGTTATTATACTTGTTTTGGCATCAGCATTACCTCTTTCTTTATCTTTTTCCTGGTTAATTGTTTTCTGAGTTTTTGGGTTTATGTTTTGCTGATGACTATTGATTGACCATTTGTATGGTATTTTTATGAAAAAGAACTGCACTACAGTACAATTTACAACAATGCTGCTGATATGACACACCTTTGAATTTGTCAAAATTAAAAACAACTTATTCCTTTGTAGTGTGAATATAAGCAATCTATTTTATATGAACTTTTTTGGTTGTACTTAATCAAAGAGAATCTCTGCACTTTTCCATTATATGGTTTGAAAGCTGTAATACAGTGTCATTTTATTTTTCTCTTTAAATTGATTGATGGGAAAATGATTGAATGATCAACTCTCTTCTTTGTGCCCATAAAGATTGATTCAGACTCTGCTGAAAATATATAGCTCTCACAAGTTCAACATCACCTGCTTTGAAATTAGCCTTAGATTGCCAACCAATAGATGAGAATTTTGAGGAAAAAATTTAAAAATATGTAAAATTAATAATTTGCATGAACACAGATGACTCCATTTTCCAAAACTTAGTGGACTCTATCTGATGTACTAAATGTATACACCTTGTAAGCAATAGCTATATTTAGGTGGTAGAACATAGCAAAAACATAACTGAAAGTTGGCAGATGCACTTGCTACTGAATAAGACCTTTTGTTCTCCCTCAGTCTTGAGATTGATAGCCACCCTAGAGCACAACAGGGCATTGGGTACTTGTGTCTTAGGTATTTCTTCCCAGTCACATGCATTTTGTGGAAGATTAACCCAACCCCTTACTACACTAAACAGTAAAGAATAATACATAAGCACACAAACTGATGACAGAATTTCAATTATGTGAATGCATCCTCTTTGCTAGGTCAAAAACAAAGGGCAAAGCAGACATTTTAGTACACATAGTGATTGGTAAATATTTTCAAGATATAATATGAGTAATCCATTATTCGCTCTATCCAAAATATATTCAAGAGGCTTCCAAGTTGTAGAAGAACAATGATCTGCCCATAATCGAAGGTGGAGAGTCTAAATGCTGTACCAGTTGCTCTGGTATTCATGTTTCCTTGGGTTTTACAGAACACATGGACCCCATTCACATTTGGTTTGTTTATCTTCAAATTTGAGTTGAAACAAGTGTGATTTATTTAAGTTGTATTAAAAAAAAGGATAGCATTTTTATACAAATATCTTTAAAGGCACAAAAGATTTATTCACAAGTTTTGGAGGGCTTTTTGTTCCTCCGATAGACATGACTGACTTTTAGCTGTCATAATGTATTAACCTAACAGATGAAATATGTTAAATATGTGGTTGCTCTTTATCCCTTTGTACAAGCATTAAAAAAACTGCTGTTTTATAAGAAGACTTTTTGTTGTACTATGTGCATGCATACTACCTATTTCTAAACTTTGCCATATTGAGGCCTTTATAAACTATTGATTTATGTAATACTAGTGCAATTTTGCTTGAACAATGTTATGCATATCATAAACTTTTTCAGGTTCTTGTTTAAGTACATTTTTTAAATTGAACAGTATTTTTCATTTTGGTTATAATATAGTCATTTTGCCTATGTTTCTACAATGAAGTGTTGAATACTTTATAAAAAATTGTTGACTGACTTATTTAAATGAAATTCTACATATTTAAGAGCTTGTGTTGGGTAGTTTTTAAAAATAAGAAAATTTCTTTATGTAGCTTAAATATTCTGAGAAAACGGTTTTAGTAAACATGGCATTTTTATATCCTTAGAACATAATACTCTTCAGGGGAAAACTGATATCATTCTATCATTTTTCAATGCGCAGCAGAGAAGGCATTATCTGTCTTCATGAAGTAGAAACACTCCCCTTACTTCTTCCTTTTCCCTGCCTTCCTGTGCCTGTCAGAGACTCCACATTGCAATAGAAAGAAAGGTTCTATACATAGTAGCATGACAACCATGCTGAACAAACCAAAGCTCTTCCTATCCCTTTCTATTCCCCAAAATTGTACTTTATGGAAAATCAGATTCCATTAGATGCTATTTCCACATTCTTTTGTAAGTAGAATGGTTATTTGCTATACCTACTTTTAGCATCAGACTAGAGATGGAAAATACAGGTGCGTCTGATTTACTTATCATCGAGTTATATTATTTGAAGGGGCCTTTTGATATCAGAGCTGTGTAAATGCAACTGAAACTATTATTTCAAAAAAACAGAACCCACAGATTGGTGTGATATTAATACAGTTAGTTTAATATTTAGCAAATAATATATGATATGCAACTGACTGCCAGTTGGGACCCGACATTGATGACCTATTCTCACTAGGGCCCTAGTGAAAACAATAGTTAACAGAGCTCAGAATGTGTTTTTAACCCTGGAGCCCTGTGGCTACCTTATATGATAAATATCTATTTTCAACTAAAGTTAATTTAATCTACTTCCATAGTTCTATTGTGTTCTACTCCAATTTTCTATTGCAAAAAATTTTATAAATGCTAGAAATTCAAGTTTATAATTCTCTTTCAAAGTCACAATTCTTTATAAATGCCATAAAAAAAAATCTTTCTAAACTATTGCTTCAAGCTTTGGTGGGAGATATTTTATAAAAATTAATGTTTCCTGATAAAACTTGCTTCTCTACCCAAATGCCTTCTTATCTAGAGCAATGTGTTTCAACTTCTTGACATTCTGCCAAGTACTTTATTTTCCTTTATAGGGGCGGATATTTAGAACTATCATTTCCTTCTATCCATTTCAGTAATGCCAGTACCACCACCTAAAGTTGCAACAAACAAATGTCTATAAACATTGCCAAATGCCTTCTGCGAAACAAAATTGTCCCTGATCAGAACTACTGATTTAGAGCTATAGTCTATCTCCCATTATTAAATTACTATCAGCTGGAACCAAAAAAAAAATGCCCCTGCTCAACAAAATCATGGTATTTCCAAGTTTTGATTTTAATTCCTTAGTGTCGATGATGAATGAGTTATAGAAGTTTGGTATTAATGAAGTGCCTATGTAGTAAACAATCAAAAGCTATGACTAAGGGGAAAAGTTTCATTTGGAAACGTTTACAATTTTGCATAAATTAAGTCATTTATTTATGTAAATGTGTTTTATCTGTGTCCATTTCAGTATCAGTGATTGTGTTTTATTTTGTTTTGTATTTTGTCATTTGCTTATTTGGTTAGTTTTAGAATTGAAGAAAAGTCTGTGCTTTTCTTCTAGGAATGTTACTTTCTATTTTGATGATGATTGAGATATGAAGAAAGTTCAATCCTAAGTACATGTTATGGCTATTATAAATGTACTGCAATATATGAAATGCCTACAATTTCCAAATCGCAGAGAAAACTAGTATATGTGATGAAAGAAATTGAAAAAATATTGTTGATTTTCTTTATTCTCTCTCATTTCTATATCTTCAAATACATCCTTTGGATATAAAATCTTATTCCTCTGAGAATATTAATATTATGTACAGATTCAACTTCTTCATGTAGTTTGATTTAAAAGATTAAAATATAAGAGAATAAGAATTCTGTGAGCTAAGCAAAATATAACTAACTACTTTTTAACAGCAGTTTTATCTTATACTCCATGCGTTTTCATCACTTTAACAATAACTTTCTCAATACTAGATGATATAGCAAAATTTAATGTATACTAAGAGTTATTAATCATTACTTAAATATGAACATTTTGACTATAACTTGCAAGAAATGGAGAGACTCAAGCACTACTTTATGAAGATTTTAGTGTAATCTGGCACAAAAATTTCTACCATGTATTTTGAATGTGAGGAAAAAAAGAGCCAAAAAGTAGTTTATTTTTCAATTCTGCTACCACATCTACTGCCAGCTTAACATATCTCAAAAGATAACAAGTCTTGAAAAAGATAAAGACAATTAAAAAATATAGGGAAGCAGTTTTATTCAGAAAGACATTTTGTTTTTGATGTTATCGTATCCAAAGGCCCAACAATGTTTTCTTCATACAGTGCTATGCAAGTATCTAGTGTACAGAAAGAAAAATAGATGAAATGAAGTTTTTGGTTTGGCTTTTCTCTAGCAGATGTTATACTTATGTGGCTGCAATTTATTCTGAAAAATAGTTTCTAGTGAATCTCATCTTTTTTCTTTTTGTTCTCAAAGTGATCAAAAATCGAAAGAAAAATTGGTACTAAAGATGGACTATTTGATAAATTCTATGCTTAGAACGTGTTCATTTTCTCTGATGGATAATCTGTCCCTTTAGAATGGGGTTTGTAAGATATTGTTGCACTTAAGCAATGCAATTCTGATACTTTAGTCATTTGTTCACTCCAAGATAATTTTTCAGCTGTGGTTTCTTCTGCAGTTTTAATACATAAATTATGCGCCTCCTGGTGCAATTTGATTTCTAGCTTGCTTATGCAGTAGTGGTCTGGAGAGTCAATGATATGAGTCTTCCAGCCTTTAATAGTGAAACCATACACATCTTACTTGGATCAGGAATCTAGTCATTTATAAGTGAGAAAATACTTGTTTCACACACAGAATAAACTGTGAAATATACTTAAGAATACATTTAGGAGTTTGAATAATAAAGTTTTCTGTGGAGATACTTTATATATATATATATATATATGGAATATATATATATATATGGAATGTAAGTTTAGATTGACTTAACATATCTCAACAGATAATATAAAAGTTAAGTAAGAAATAACTGGACAGTGAGATTTATACCTAGAATAACCTTTACCTTTAGTATTTATCTTTTTACAAGGATTTATTCCTTGATTTTTTACTTTGAGTATATTTTTAGTTTATGAATAGATTTCGCTAAAAGTACTTATCAAAAGCCTATGTCGGCAGTGTGTGTGCTGAGCTTTCACATATATGCAAATGTTACAATCTACAATTGTCAGTTATGGCTGAGGAAATTTATTTAAACACACAACTACATACACACACACACTTAGACTCACATTCTCACACACTGGCTTTGATATGCCATTCACTGTGAAGATAACATTTCTTTCCTAGAATTTAATAATGTTTACATTCTCTGGCCTAGAAGTTCAGAAAACATTACTCTTATACACAATGATAGCTAATACCTAATTTTGTATTCCTTATTATAAGATCATCATATTTTCCCTCATTTGCATCTCTTTTTTTATCCAAAGTGACATTACAGGAAGCCAATGTTACCGTTACATTATTTTATCACAACCTGTATTTTTACTGTAAAAATTATTGTCATTTTTGAAAACTTAGAAAATATACATAAAGAAGAAAGAAAAATTACCACTATATTAAAAACCTAGAGAGAAAATTACCACTTCAGAGTATTTTCTTTGTTTTAGGGTCATGTTTTAATTTTTCTATCCTGCTTTTAAAATATAATATTAAAATATTTGGTTTTATATCTTCCTTGTGCATTTATTTACTTATTTTTATTCAGTTTCTTGTTTGTTTATACTACATAGATGCTATATTGCTTGGTTTTATTTTTCTCTTTTGATTTTAAATTTGTTTTTTCTGCTGGTAAGTACTTTCAACTTAAAAAATATTCTAATAATATAATCCAGAATTTAAAAATAAGTATTTCCCCCCCCCTTAAAATGAGAAATTTAACATTCTTAAATTCCCTAATTCAACTCACGTCCATAGTCTTCGTTGATATAGTTTGTATTTTTATTTTTAAACTATTTCAAGACAAGTATTTTTGTATTCTTTATCTTCTTTTCCTTATTTGGGAATATTTTAACTTATCTTTACATTTAGTATTTCTTTTTTACAACTTACAGCTCTTTTTACTGCATGATTTCTCCATTCTTGATTTTTTTTGACTAAATTCTTATTTTATGAGTAGATTTCATAAAGAGTACTTATCAAAAGCCTTTACCTGCAGTATATTTGCTAAGCTTTCACATATATACAAATATTTCTCTAAGGCCTTCAAATAGAAATGTCAACTCAGTTGGATGCACATTTCTAAAGCTATAACCTTTTCCTCCAAAATTAGGTTGAAGTTGGCCCATTGCTTTCACACATTCAATGTTGTTAGGGGCCAGTGTATTTTTATTTCTTTGTATCATTTTTCCTCAGGCTTAAAACAAAACAACTAGTTACAATTAAAATATTTTGACAAAAATGCACACATCTTTTTTATTAATTTTGTCTGCCTACCAGAATATATTTTCAGCTGAGATCGATTTTCCTTAAGATTCTCATTACTTCTGTCCAAATTTTCCTTAAATATACAGAAACACCTACGATTCTTAGGTTAAGTCATTTTTTTTCCTTTATAACCTATATCATCTTAGTAGTTTTTTTCCTCACCACTCCCATTTACTCTTGAAGAAATTTTCAAGTTTCTGGCATGTATTACTGATTCGCTTTTTCCCCTGTATACTCAATTTCTTTCTTGTGTATGCATATGTGAACATGTGTGTGCACTCATGCAAGCACCTCAGGGATGAATTTTAATTCAGTGCACATAGAGTCCTTCCTTATCTTACTCAGCTTTAAAACGTTTTAAAAACTGTGTTTATTCTCCTGTGTGTATTTTCTTCTCAGAGTTTTCTGCTGAGGTGTTATACTATTTGTTTCCTTTTTTCTATTCATAATACCAACCAGTTTTCAAAAGTTATCTTTTGGCAAC